CCATACAGCATAGATAGTTTCTTTAAAATATTACAGTATTTAAATTTAAATTGCTTATTTACACAGAAGGAAGGAGTGGGAGTGAAACTTGAACTTGGGACTACTGTATCCTCCCTACTTCACGGATTTTCACTTATCGCGGGGGCGTCCTAAACCCCATGATAAACGAGGGACTACTGCATAGAAATTAAAGCTAGTGCTTGATGCTTTGCTTGGGACTTAGGCTTGATCTGAAAAGAAAAGTCTAATTTAGGAAATGACAGAAATCAGTACCAACTGGTCTTTTAGAAAGATTTGTGTGAAACAAAAGATTAAAATGTAACTCTGACTTTAATGTTTGACTTCAATCACAAGAAAACCGAGCTGATTTAAATTTTAATTGACAGAAAAGCGTAGGGGAACATAACCAACCTGTCTGTACTCCAGAATAATCTTTGGCAGAGGATGAAGGTCCTGAAGCTGCAGCAGCTACAAAAACGAGAAACATTTTTGGGGTGTCTAAAAAAGTTAAATCTGGTCCTCTGGACATTCAAAAAAAAAAAAAACCAAAACAAAGCAAAACAACAAAAAATGTAGAAACGTTTCGTCTCTCGTCCGAGAGACTTCTTCAGTCTGAGGTGCTGTTTTCAGCTCAGTCTCTTAAATAGCACCTTCTCAGAGTGGATCAACCAGTTTTGCTGCTGACAACCAAAACCAACTGATCACATGCTCAAGAAGGACCATCAGCCTAACAATGGATCATTAGCACACTGATGGCTGTTTACTACTCACAGAGGGCTGAGTGATACTAGCAATCACAGCATTGTAAGAGGGGGACAGTTGAACCCGGAGGCCTCCACCCCTGTTTAATGATGGACGGTTTCTTTTCACAAAGATGGCCTCCTTTACTCCTCTCTCAAACCATCGTTCCTCTCTATCCAGGATGTGCACATCTTCATCCCTGAAAGAGTGACCGCTGGCCTGGAGATGAGTGTAGACCGCAGAGTCCTGGCCTGATGATGTTGATCTTCTGTGCTGGGCCATCCTTTTGGCCAGTGGCTGTTTTGTTTCCCCGATGTAAGACTGATCACAGCCCTCCTGACACTGAACAGCATACACAACATTACTCTGTTTGTGCCGGGGGACTGGATCTTTAGGATGAACCAGTCTTTGCCGTAATGTATTTTGGGGTTTAAAAGCCACTGGGACGTTATGTTTAGAAAATAAA